GTAACTTAGTATTTTTACTTTTTCTATTTCTTTATTTTTATTTATTTTATGTAAATGTAAAATCACGCGTTTAAATTTAATTTCATTGCAACGATTAATAGAGATTTGATCAAAATAAATATAGAATTCAATTGAAAAGTGCATCTGCGAATTGGACGATTTATATGTCAGGCTATTGTATCACTTGCTTGTATAATTAATATAGTTTTCTTCTTGTTACAGGTGATCATCGTTGGATTTATCATCAAACCTTCTGGATTCTTTTTTATTTGACTATCTTAATTTGCTTCATTTTCAAATATACGTATAAATGCATTTCTGAAGGCACACACACATGTTTATACATTAGAAATTAAATATATTTATTTAAAATTTGATTACAATAGAACTATGCTATTTATACTATCAAAGAATATATCATATACTATCATAGACTATCATATATACATATAGTATTATACCGTTATCGCGTTAAGTACTTACTATCGTCTAATGGTGGGTCTCGGTTATAACAAAAATGAAACTGGGTAGATAATAAAGGGGACTTGTGAGCTTCTATGTACTTCTGTATTCTTCGATTTCGAAAAAGTGCACGAGATTAAGTTGTCTTCTAATTAACCTTTAATTCATAGATACTTAATTCTTTCTCTTCACGGACCTCATGTAATAAGCGGACCGCATACAAGATATTCTACTTAAAAAACAAATTAAATTGACTTTCAAATACTCAATAAAATGATTGAATTATTGGAATGATTGTAATTTGATCTAGCTTACATTTATTTCATAGAATATTAATTGAACATTGAAGAATTGTTCTTAATATTGAAAATTATTTAATTTCTCTCTCTTACTTTTTTCTTTTTTTACGTCACAGATATGATTATAAGAGACACATAAATTCATTTTTTTGTAAATTAATTTTTTACATGTTTTTAAAAATACTTCATAACAACGTGATAAGTAAATTATATTTAATATAATTCTTTCTCTTCAGAGACATGTTGGTTATTAACAAGACTACATGCGAAGACGTCATCATGAAGATGGTCAATGTACAAAAACATCAGAATGCTCCAATGTGAGCCAATGTACTTATTATATCATAAACAAGGTTTACTTTAGATAATTTTAATTACATAAACGTTGTACTTAAATGTTTTATAATAAGCCTTGTCTTTTAAGATCTTCATATGTTTTACGATTAACTACATTCCCAAGAGAATCTTCAAATTCTTCTTCCTGCTCTGGTTGCCAACGTTCGGCTTGCTTTTGAGTTTTCAATTTTTCCCATAAAGCAAGAGCATCTTCTATCTGAGTCACATTGGCAAAGTGTGCGGTATTTGGTATACCAAGACAACGCATGCCATGAGCATGTCTCCATTCCGCAAAATGTCTTTGGAAAGCTTTAGGTCCTTTGTATGTGAAATTACCACAAATTTCACAGTTGTAACTAATATTAAGACCGTGTAATTTATACAACCAATATGGTATAGGCTTKCCGTCCCAACCAAGAGGCAAATTTTTAGGATTATAMGGAACTTCGTTATCATCTTCTTCCTCCGATTCACTCGCACTTGCTTCCGCATCCGAATCACCTCGTTCACCTTCTGTCCTAGCTTGTTTCCTTTGTACATTTTCTTTAGTAGAAACTCTTTGACTAGAAACCAATTCTGCAAGCCTGTAAACGTGAGACTCTACCCTTGCAATTTCTTTCTGTTTTTCTGTATCTTTACCTTTGCCAGACTTTTTATTTTTACTTTTAGCTAATAAGTTTGGATCGAGAGAAGCTTCGCCCTTAGTGCTAAAAAGTCTCTGCGCTCTYTCCTCCAAAGTRCCACCGCATTTTAAACCTAARGCCATCAATGCAGATTTTAATCTATCCAATCCGAGGGATGCTAGTTCTTCCCAAGATGAAAAAGCAGAAAGTTCCAAATGTGCTCCAACGTGAGCCAATGCGCTTCCAGTTTCCTTCGGCCATCCAGGAAATGTATTATTTTCCCACTGCGTTTCGAAATCCTTATTGGCTTCTTCAATTTCTGCATTTATATCTAACAATGGTCTAACTCTACTCAAATAATCAACCAAATATAATAAAAGGACTTCAATGTATCTGCTGTATTCGGCATTTTTCCTTTCTCTTGGAATATCGAATAAATGATCGAACGTAGACAAATAAGCAATGTAATCAACCTTTTCGATACCCTTAAGATTAATAAACTTTTCATAGCATTCGTGAAGATCCAAATACTTTCCGTAACCTTCCTCGTCAGTGAATTCAACAAGGTTCGACAATTCTTCTGTAGGATTTTCTCTCATTTTGGCTAATTCCTCAAATTCAACTGACATTGGTACGCTAATTTCATTCGGATGTCTACGATAGAATTCTTTGATAGATTTTAATCGAGAATAAAATTCAGAAAATTCGTTTGGACCCGAAAGTGCTTGTACCTGAAAAAAAATTGTATTAAAATTATTGTATATTCAACAAATGAATGATTATAAAAATGTATAAACCTAAATATATATACAAATATATGAGATACTTTTCAAACATATAACCTCTTACCTCCTCTTTTCTTTGACCATCTTTATCTTCGTACAAATCTTGTAAATTAGTGGTACTATCCATATACTGATCCAATAACATTTTTAACCTATGCTCAGAATTAATATTTTCACGATGGCCTGGTTTTTTGAAAAGCATTTCTTTTACCATAGCGTCCATTAACCGTTCTCTTTCCTCATGATAACGTCGTTGTTGTTCCAATATAGTTTCCATTATATAGTTCAAAATTAGTATAAATTATATATATATTTTTTTTTGTTAATACGCGTATATATATATACTTTATTATTTATTATAATTTAATATTTCTTTAACGTTGTGTTTACATTATATTTCACTCCAAACTGTATAATAAACTTTAGCGACGTGAGCGGACAAAATATGAACTAAAAGCAAACAGAGGAGCACGTAAACGTGTATTCATATCATCGGTGTATAAACTTGTGTTAGTACACCTCTCCTATGTGTGGTGTGAACACATGTTTAGTTTAGTAAATTGAATTACACTTTTAATTTCTCATCTGTGTGTTAGTACAAGCGGATCGAGTTATAGATATGATCGATATTATTGAATATATCGATACTTGCATAAAAAGGTTGGCAACAGTGGACGACAATAGAGATTGGCAATTCTGATTGAATATTATATCGATATTAGAAATCTGTATTATTGATCGTTGGTATGTCATTATTTTTTAATTCATAAATTGTTTGTAAATGTTCACATTGGCTAGTATTAAATTATTTTCGATTATTTCTTTTACCAAAGAATACAGAAGTACATAGAAGCTCAAAAGTTCCCTTTTTTATATATCTAGTTTCAGTTTAGTTATAACCGGGACCACCAGTGGGCGATAGTATGTAATTAACGTGATGACGGTACAATACTATCAAAAAATATTTTCAATTATTAATAACTAATTAAATAATTAATTAATAAAGCGAGAATTTATGGATTTTTATTAAGGAATTAGTGTGCAATTAAGAGTACTTATTCATTTTTTTTTAATATTGAGATTCTATGCCAACTTTTCTGTGTTATCGCTCAATGTTGGTCCCGGTTATAACAAAAATCAAACTGAGTAAATAAAAAAAGGGGACTTATGAGCTTTTATGTACTTCTGTATTCTTTGATTTCGTAAAAGTTCACGAATACAAGTTATCTTTTAATTAACCTTTAATTCGAGGATATTTATCTTTTTTTCTTCACGGCCGCACATTGGCGCCGATTGAAGAAAATGTTTTTTAAAATCGATGATTAAAAAAAAATTTCATTAAGGGCTTGAAAGCAATTAGTATTGAAACATTAACTTGATTTTTTATATTTTATGTAAGAGCCATCGGTATTCAAGATGGAGGAGTTGTTGGATTAGAATCAATTGTGAGCCGTCAATCAATTTTGGTCGCTAAAAAAATGGTAAATTTATGATTGGTCGTTTTGGGGTGAACTTAAAATTTCATTGGATGCTTTGATTGGTAACTTTAGGTTACAGGGATTCAAATTAATTTGAAACCATATTTCTTAATGATTTTTTAAACTAAAAATCCTTTTCTCTTTCAAACATAAAAATTATTTCATAATATTCTTTAATTTTTCAAACGATATGTAGGGCGTCCCTTTTATATAAACAAACAAAATTAAATGAGACGTGATTTTGGTACCAAGGTACCAAGGGACCCGACGTCACCAGTTAAAGATTAAACTTATCTCTGGAATAATGCATTTACGTCGTAGACGTTTTTTAATTTAACATTTTTATTGTCTTGCAATTAAAGTTAATTGAACTAAAAGCTTTTCACCAGCCCTGGTTTATATAATGGTATACACTATAAAAAAAATTCACAAGATGACTTACAAAATTTTTTTTCTTTTTTTATTTATTTATTTCATTAACTTGACGACTAATTTTAACTCGATTTATAATTAATATATATATATATATGTGTGTGTATAAATTACAAGAATGTCGTATTCGTAATAGCATTCACATATTTAAAATATACATTTACATTTCACATGCATGTTTGCTAAACGTACACCACTGTCTACATACAATATACGCTATACTAATTAGATTATTTGTTCTCTTCCTCTTTATATATACATACACACACATATATATATGTATGTATATTTGACGTATATTATAGACTCAGTAGATACAACGTTTTCGCTACACTATCATAGTAATAATATCGTCTATGTTCATCCAAAAGTCACCAACGACATTTTCATCTTTTTATCAATGACAAAATAACTTTTTTCAATTTTTATTAGCCATTATTCTATAAAAAGCATTATTAATAGTCGCGTTTTAAAGCATTAACAAAAAATCATACTTTTTTAAAATCTGATTTTTCGTATTTAAAATTTTTTCAACTAGCACAATAATTCAGAGATTAATATAATGACTTTTGTCTGAACATAGACAAATATCATTTAATTGGAATAAACAATTTTATATGTTATTACCGATAGTTTATTTTCATTTTTTATTATATATTTACTTATTTATTCTTTTCTATGTTAAAATTCAAGACCATTTTTCGTTTTCTTTTTGATTTCATAAAAATGCTCATTTGCTTTTTTTTTTTGATATTTTGTTTGTTTGTTAAGCGTTCAAGACTTCTCTTCGATTGGATATCTCATTATCGAATTCTTCAACGGTTTCAACGCTTCGTTGTGGCGTTGTAACTTCTTGGCTGTTATCATTTTCATCAGGAGTAGTCGTTACCGTTGGGTTTACCGCGCCATCTTCGTTTTCGTTAATAGTTGTATCATCTTGTGGTTTAACATCAATGACACGTACACGGAAAATGATTCCATCGGTATCGTTGTTGTCCTTGTAAATCGTTTCGTTGATCGTCAATACGTGTCCATTGATAATCTACGATCAACAAATTCTCTTATTAGTACAAAGTAAAACAGCCATATTTAATTTGTGCCCCCCACCCAATGAAATTATCGTTTTCACCATTAATCCTCCGTCGGTAAAGTAGATTTTACTAACGTCATCGTGTTGCTTGAATTGTTTTAATTATATCGTTATTTACAAAATCTGATAAAATTCAATAGTACTCTTTATGGTCTCTAGAATATTGTTTAATTAATTATTTTCTTATTTATAACTTCAAATTCAAAATAAATATAGATGTGTTTAACACAAGTTCTATAAGACTCATGTTTTCGGTGGAGGGTTACGATTTATTCTTTTTTTATTATTTTTATTGTAATATCATCTAATTTGAAGATGGACAAAAATTGTTTTACCTTGGTAGTAGAAGTGGTGTTTCCTCCCAAAGGAATCTTACTCCAAGGTGTTGAAAATCCAGGATTTAATGGGAAACGGGATGCAATACTGGCCATTTGTTCTCTAAGTCGGTTCATTATTTCTGAAATAACAGAGATTAAGAAATATGATTAAAAATGTTATTTAAATTTTTGTTTTGGTTTTTTATTATTATTTTCATATTTTATTATATTTTTGGTAATTTTTTGCATGTAATATCTTTTGTTATATTATATATAGGTCACATTCGTGTTTAAATGATCATATCATATTACGTATGCGCTTGGGTAATATCCCGTTTATATATTCATAAGGTTCGATTGCAAAGGATTTTAATCTTCCGGGCATTAATTTACTTTCATTTTTTAGTTTAGATTTCGTTTGGGATTATACGTTTCCATATATTAATATATTCTAGAACGGACGAGATATAATTATGGAAGATGTTACGTATTATGACGTCAAATTAATTACATCGATTATACGTAAACGAGTACACGCATAGATTTTTTATTATATATATATATATTTTGTTGTATCATTTTTTTTCTTTCGATTTTGCAGTAAGACGTACGTTTAAGATAAAACGTTACTTATGCAATAACGAAAGGAAAGTTCATTCGAACAAGATTGAATCATTTATTATCTCGTTTAAAGTGAAGGGGGTTCTTTTGTGAGCAAAAGGTGTACTAAAAATTATTTCCAATTGCATTGCAACAGGTATATTATCGGGACTTAAAATTATTCCATCTTTTTTCTTTGATGCAATTTTTAAGATGTATTATTATTAAGGTCAATTGTAAAATTATCAGCTATTACATCAAATATTTTAACGAAACACTATTTTATAGATAAATGTTGATCGATTCCGATTGATTTTCCCGCGAAAAAATTCAAATGTTTGTTTCCCGGTCGGTAAGGTAGAACTCGCGCGTATCAATTTTTTACAATTATAAATCTACGTGGAATATTAAAAACTTGTTTTTTTCTTCTTTTTTCTCCTATTTATTATTTCATTTTCATTCTACTTATTATCATTACCGAATTTATTATCTTTTGATTTGTAAGGATATTTGTAGTGTCACGGATACGTTCAACGTGTTTCTCGAGATTAAAAGTGAAGGGTACTTTTAGCGAGAAAAGGTGGCACACTATAAATTGATTGCAATTTTATTGCAAAAGGTTACATTACCGGAACATAACATTGCATCGTTTACCTTGATGCAATTTAAAATGATTATATACACTGGTATATACGTTTATTGATTTATTATATTAGATATTTATCTAGATATAATTTTTTTTTATAGATAAATATCAATAAATATTCGATAGATTTTCTCGGTTGAAAAAAAAATTCAAATGTTTGCTTAGCGGTCGATAAGGTAGAATTCGTTCGTATCGATCGTACAATTATAGATTTACGTGGAATATTTAAAACTTGTTTGGTTTTTTTCTTTTTTTTTCTTTTCTTTCTCTTCCACCATTTATTATTTCATTTTCATCTTGCTCGTTATCACTTCTAACTTTATTATGTTTTGTTATTAAAGGACGATTGCAGTTTCTACGGTATTCGTTTTACGAGTTTCCTCTCGAGGAAAATATCCTTTTAAAAGATAATAAATTACACGAATGTCTTTTTAACTCTGTTCTTAGGATGCCGTTGCGAATTAATTTCAAGGAAGCGAATAGTTGGCACAGAACGGTGGCGGCGGCTTCTTCTAGCTCGATAATCACCACCAGTCTACGGATCTTCTACAATATGTATATGTAAGTACTTATATATACAGGGTGGCCTATTTTCAAATACAATTCTCTCTCATTCAAACTAAATTTTTTTTTTTTATTTAATATATATATATTATCTATTTTACCAATATATATATATATATATATATATATATATATATATATATATATAGATATATTATTTATCTGACGAAATATGTGTGTTCGGTTAAAAAGTCAACTTAAATGAAACAATTACTTCATTTCTTTATTTGTTTTTTTTTATTTCAATACCGATATCGCTTTTATTTACCGACCGAGCTGTTAAATCTTATAGGTTATAAAACAAAAGAGATAGAAATAGATAGATAGATAGATAGATAGATAGATTTAGAGAGAGGGAAATCATTTAATCGGTGAATTTAATCGGTCGATTCGTATCGAACGATAGGAGCCTTTCTGCGTCCTTGAATAATAATGGCTGAACTCTGACGAGCAGGAAATTGGAATCCGCAAAGCCAATTGGTCATTTCTCGACCGATAACTTTTGTCCCTCTCCCCCCACCCCTCCTTACTCACCAAAGTGTCCTTTTCACTTTTCCAACCGTCCCCAATTGTACAATACGAGATATACTACCCACCCAATGGTCAATATAAATGACCTATCCAAAATGGCGGGCAAAGTTAAACGAATTTGAATAATGATTAGTTACGAGCTTCGATATTTTATTAAAGGAACCATTTTTTTTATTGAAAATCTTGAATTGTTTTCATCGTACGGCCTTGGGATTGATTTTAAACAAACGACTCATCTAATTTCGTTTTTTCTTTTGAAATGTTATTTTAAATTTTGGAAATGAACGAACAAATTTTTCTGTTTTTTGTTGTTGTTCTCAAAATGAATGTATTTAAGAGAATTTTGAAATAAAGAAAATGAATGTTTAACTTCGTTTCATGGGGAAATTCGTTGAGATAGATTGGAACCGAGTTTTCACGTTACGAGGATGGAGATGTTGTAAACGAGCCATCAAGTGCTAATAGTTTCCACCTGTAGTACGGGATAATTACTTTTCTTTAATTAGGATACACACCGAAGTTCTGGGATTTATTTTGGAATGTTTTTCTTCTTTTTCTTTTTTCATTAAAATTATCAAAGTTATGTTACGTAAGTAATAGAAAGTAATAAAAATATTTGCTGGAAACCTCGAATATCGTTTAATAATAATAATGATGATAATTAATATTATATATATAATAATGATAATATTTTTAAATATGCGAATATTTCTATATTGAATAAGAGAAGAATGATGTATGATAAATTGGATAAATGGTGCATGATAAATAAATAATCATTTGAAATTAATTGAAATGTTATTAATCATCGTACGTTTATAATTATAAACGAAACAATTGATTATTTATATTATTGTATTAATTTTACGTTGTTATCATCTCTCTTTGCTTGATGTTCTTTAAAATTTATCTATTATATTTTCTTCCGATTTTTTTTTTACATCTCATTATAATAATATCGCATTTCTCAGTCTCAGTTCATTAGGACTTATTTACGGAATATTCAATCTCAATTTAAATACGTTATCACATTAAAAATTTTTTATCGTTAAATAGTACATTAAATTCTCGAATATTATTTATTTATTATTAATTAATTTTTCCAAAATTATTTATATTATTTATTTTTTCCATACTGCGATTCTTATATATTTACGATATTAAATTAAAAGTTTAACAATAATTTTAATAAGACTCGTAGTCGAACATATTATGTTATGCATTAAACTTCGTATAGTTATTACAACTGTTTTAATAGAATGATCATTAATTTTAATTCTCATCAATAATTAAAAATATTTAATTATTCTATATCATCTTTAAAACATTTGTTTTATTTATTTAAAAAATGTTTGTTTTCTTTATTCTGTTTCCTATATCGTTTATCGAATTTATTTATCACAGGGTGTTTATCGTTAAGAATTTATTTAAAAAATTTTTAACTTTTTTAAAAACACTAATACACTAACAAAAATTCTTTAACGTCTAATAATATGTCAAATTCTCGAATATGATAACGTTATCTATTTTCCATATTGCAATTATTATAATAATAATTTAATATAATAATAAATTATAAATATAATATATTATTAAATAAAAAATTCAACATCAATTCATAAAACTTGCAGTCAAACATATTTCGGTATGCGTTAAACAACATCAAACTTCGTATGCTTATTATACTTGCTTAAATGAAATGATCATTAATTTTAATATTCATCAACGAAATATTGATTTATTTAATTATTCTACATCATCATTTAAACAAGTCGCGTATACTTTCCTAAATTATTTTTGCATGTTCTGTATGGCATTTAATTTTTTCAAACTCTTACAAAAACAATGGTATCATTTAAAAAATTAATCAGTATCGATATATACTCTAATTACGAATTTTTACTATTGGACGTGTTGAGGTCACCGGTGACCCACACGGCAGTCAACGTATTAACACACGTACTTAAGGGGTTACATGGGTTTGGGACTTTCAAAAAAATTTTTTTTTTTTACCTTTTTAAATTCTACAACTCATCTAGAATATTGTATTGAATTTTGAAGTCGATAGGAGTAGTAATTTTAAAGATAGAGCCCTGGGAAGTTCCACTCTTTAATGGCTCTTATACTAGCACTCAAATCTTTACACGCGTTTTTCTCAAAACGCTTTTTCTAAAGTCGGTTGTCAAGATTTCTCGAAAACTATTTAACCGATTTTCATGAAATTTGCTACACGTCTTCGTGATACTATTGACAAGTACTTGGACGAAGGATTTTCGTTTTTTTCATAAAATCGAATTTTAAGAAACCAAAATGTGGTGAAAATTGTAGCGAAATTTGAATATTCTTGCTAAAAA